TCTGACACAAGTTTGCAAACATTTTTCAACCATTAATTTACAAATGCAAAATTCACACAGCTCCTAAGAAACTGTGCAGCTTTCACACATCTCATAGGGATCTGTGCTTTATTAGTCAAAGGTTTAAACCCAGTGTATTCCCCACGAATAATATCTCTCCCCTTCCCCCTCCTTCCTCCTCTTCCTAAATGCAGATTCCCCAGCTTCCTTGTCTTCAGTTTACAGATTATGCGATCCAAAGTGTCACTCACTGGATTAATGCACATAACCTGAGCACTACCCGAAGCTTACTTGTCTTCAACTTGTCCAGCATTACTTAAATGGAATTATCCATTACAATCCATATACCAAATCTGCATAGCCCACTTATCTCAAGATTCTGTGTGTCACCTACCAGATTATCCATTTTAATCCATACATTGAATCTACATAACATATGTCTTTAATTCATGGACTCTGATGAGCTATAGTATTGCTGAATGGATTATTTCTCTTTATCCATTATTGGCAGTCATAAAACCGTTCACTGCATACTCTCTCATGCCCCACCTTCTGAACATACAAGCAAACACAGCTCTATCATGCATCAAACACAGCTTGATATAATACCTGCAATGATACTTCACATAACTTGGAGCACAGTTCCTCACACAAAACAAATGTCTGTGTTATCGTGCATTAAGATTAGGATTGATAGGCTAATCTTGCCTTCAATTACACTCATAAATCTGCGGTTACTCCAGTACAGTGTGAGTCTCACCTAGATTTAACTGGATACAATGAAGAGCTGATTTTAGCCCGATGATGATCCCTTTCACAATGAGCACAGAAAACATTTCACCTGAGTTGTTGAGGAACTAACCTGTACAATAGAAAAGGATTTTCAAACAAACAAAAAAACCCACCAGGTTCAGGCTTGCCCAGCCTTTCTCAAGAGATTCAGGCGCAGTCACTGTTAACAATGCCTTCAACAGAAAACCAACTCACGAAGATTAGAAACAAAAGTCAGTTTAGCCTTTTGTTCCACACACCTATTCAAAATTAGCTAAGTGGAGAACATATAAAATATGTATTATTATTTCTTGACAACTCTTGATAAGCAAGAGATGGACAAGATTAGCAGAAAGGCTTTGTGTACCCCAGGGAAGTTTTAAAAGGAGATCTCATCATGGTTAAAGCTGCCTCACTCCCATCAGCGTTCACAAGACTGCACCTGGGGGCCAGCACTGCTCCCAGGATTCTGCTCAGAGAGGGCCCCACACCAGTGAAACAGTAGTTTCGTGTTAATTTTCTAAGCACAAGGATGGCCGCTGACATTGAAGAGCGTGGAAATATACTTCTTACACCTTTTCCTAGCACAGGCCCACCCTCCGTGCTGCATCTGCTGCAGCCGGTAACACTGCTTAGGAGGAAGGCAACCGCTTTCACCCTGCAGTGCACAGGTACCAGGCAGCTATGCTGAAAGCACAAAAGGGGTGTAATTTTCCTTCCTGTAGATGATCGGTTCGAGACCTGAAGTTCTCTCTGCTCCACTGAATCCAATAAACTGCATTAACCATTAATAATCCAGAGGCCTTTTGAGCCCTGTTCTTGAATATGATAGATGTAAGTAAGTTTGAACAAGCTTTAGCCAATTCAATATACACTTTTACAACTTTATTTTAAAAGATTTCAATTTAACAGCATGTTTAGACTGACTTGTTTAGAACAGAGTAAAAACAAAATTTCTTATGACATCTCCAGTGCCAAAGTAGTATTATTTATTTAGCCCCAGATTACCTCTCTGAACAGAGGCATTTGAGTTAAAATTTCTACAGATATGAAAGGCTCTAGATTTTGCCCCACTTTACGTATAAGAGTATTCCTTTGCAGTACCTTTCATTCAAGCCATGCAATAAAATATTATATTTCCTTTTCCATTAGTAACTGGACATATATAGATCCTTCTAACCATGATCTCGAAGTTTGCAGGTAGACCTCCGTAGATACTGTGACGGTTCTCCCATTTCACAGGCATGCAGCTGAAGAAAGGGGGGCTTAAAGTAGCTGCCGAAAGTAACAACGCAACTAAGAGGAACAACTGAATACAAAACACGGGAGTCTGGTGACTTCCAGCCATTTGCCAACTCCCCTATCTTTAGTAAAATATTACTGCTTTGTAACTTAAAAGAAACAGCACTAACAGAAAATAAAGTCTTCCACTTCATCTCCCTTTCTTTTAATCTCTCCCAGAGAATAAAACTCAATGGTAATAACACAGACTTAGGCATTAACAATATGTAGTCTAGTGCTGAGACTTTAGCACATGACATACTAAAACTCCCCCAGATCTAATGAAAAACACAATGAAATTTTGAACAGTTAAATGGAAAAAACTATCCAGTGCATAAGACAGTTGGGCAGTACAGCTTCTAGTGCTGTCCACATTCCAGGGTGTATTAATAATAAGACACTACTTGTGCAGGATTTCCAAATATCACTAATAGAGAGAAATAAGGAAAAAAAAAAATGCAGCTGCTAGGCCAAATGTAAAGAGAAGTTAATTAAAAAATCAGAACAGAAAAATTTAATAACTCTACATTCCTACAGAAGGACAAAAATATTTTCTAGCATAACGTATGTGTGTTTGTACACGCGTACGTGAGTATAAAGCAGCTCAACTTGCACACCTTTCATGTTGCCTCACTAAATACAGCTGCAATACAGCTGAGCCATTGTTTGTTGGCTGCTCATGGCTGGCGGTGCCATGAAAACCGCATTCCTGGGCACTAAATAATCAGCCTGCCTGACCCCCCAAGAACCTGTAAGTCAAATTCATTTACCCCCAGAGGGCAATGCTCTATTGTATCCTCCCTCCTTTCTAGCCACCTAGGAACAATGGACAATAATTGCAACTGTCACGGCAGTCAGTAGGAAAAATAAACCAGTGCCTGTTTTCACAGCTTACTGCCAAACCTGATCCAAACACCTAATAACCATGCCCCCAACCACAGAACCACAGTTGCACTAAAAAGCCTCAGATGTGAGGCTTTTGAACAGAGCTACAGAACAATAACTCGACTTGTGTTCAAAATATGAAGCTAAAAAACAAAAATTAAAGCAAAGAAAACTCTTCTTTGAGGCTGTGCTGTTGCTCCCCATCCTCCCTCCGGGCAAGACTGAAAGGACTGTTGAATTTCTTTCGTGCTAGCATATAGCTGCTGCTGCCGCTTTCAAGTTTAGCTTGTGAAAAGGAAAGAGAGGAAGGGAGAAAAAAGATTGCCCTCCAACAGAAAAAGATCATAGGGACTGGGAACAGACTGCCTTCTCAGTGCACAGCACTTCTCAGAGTGGCTTTACCGAGGTCCAGAGGCGGAGGAGAATCACCGGGAGTCCTTCCAAAGGCTCCAGCGTACCAAGAGTTAAAGAGGCTCCAGACAACATGCAAGAACTGCTGAAACACACACCCAAAAGTGGATATGAAAGCCGCCTGTGTACTTTGGGCCTGAAACATCTTAAAGATTCATCACTTCACGGCAGACGATGATGTTATTTTAAAACAATATGCTTTAAAAAACCAGAACTCGCAGATAAGCCCAGTGGCTACCCTACCCCTTTATGACCTGTTGCTTCATGCACATGGAGAAAACGCGCTCAGCAGGAATAAAGAACCCAGGGTTTGGTGCTCTGTTATAATAATAATATCATCTCAGCATATTTGGGGCTGAGGCACTATATTCTGTTATAAAGTTATGCTACAGATGTAATGAACATATATTTTTGAATTACAGTCTCTTAGGGAGAAGCTAGGGGAAGCAAGTGGCATACTTTCCTACTTGTGTAAGTCAGCAGACTAGCACAAACTAATTCCGGTGGCTTATCGGTGACAAGCTGGAAGGCATATATAATTAAAATAACACTATCTTTGCACATGTACCAATACATTAACCTTTGAGAGCATGTCGTGTTGTACTCTTTACTGAATACTGCCCACCTCTTGCACAGAAGGTCCTTAAACCTGTCAGGCATGAGGTTTTGGAGCCTGCCTGAATGAAGATCTCTGTATCAGGGACAACATTAGTAAGCAAACAAACTAAAAATAATGGAGAGAAATTAAATGTAGTTTATAAACATAAAAGAAGGGTTTAATTTTAATCTCATTCTACTTTCACATTTACAAAACAACACTGGCTTGGATTTTGCTACTCCAGATGTACACTGATATAAATGGGAGAAGAATCCGGGAGTCACTGTTTCTTTTCAGAGGGATAATGGCTGCTCTGAAAACTAAAATTCTTGACACACATGTACTTTGAGTCAGTTCCTCATCACAAGCACTGAGGAAGAATTATAAAAATATTAAATTACATGAAAACAAACAAATACAGGTTCCCTAAAATGACCTCACATACATAAAATGGGGAAATATCTTGGCAAAGCAGAAGCTACTGCTGCTGGAGAGTGGTCAAATTTTGTCATTTTCCTTCTGGAGTATGGCTTTAAAAGAACATGTTTTAGTGCACAGATGTTGTACGCTGTCTTTTAAAATCTGCACCGGCTAATTTCAGTACCTAGAGGTATCATTACACAAACTTTGCTCTTTTTTTTTTTTCCTATACACAAAAAAGTCAGAAAAATCTACATCAAAATCTGTCCAAAAATTAACAAGGACTTCTGATCACCCTCACATTTCAGAAGCTGAGCTCTGCTATGCTCTGATACCACATAAGCCTGTGTTTGATACGTGAATTGACTTCTTTTTTTTATCCAGTCCTGCAATAGGATGTGTCCTCTTATAACACAGAACAATATATGCAACAAAAGCTTTACGTAAGTTCATTCCCTTAGGGCAATATACTGTTTCATTTATTTGTATTAACACAGATGGAGAGCACACATTTCATGTAAGTCCCAAATTACGATGTTTCAAGGGGAGGGGAAGAGGAGCAAACAAAGTTCCATAAAGCCAGTGATATCCGTATATTCATTCTCAATTTGCTTTAGCAGAGAAACAGCATTACCTTTTATTTCTCCAAAGTTCCCTGATCCCATGGCAAGAAGCTTGTCTTTCCAGTCCTTTGATAGTAGCTTTTCAATACTGGGAGTTTCTGAGTGAAGGGGGGGAAAAAAAATGTAAGCAAATCAACATGACTGTCTCCACAATAGAACTCATTAAAAGTCTATCTGCTAAAAATAAGGCCAACCCTATTCTGGGCCCCAGTTCGTAATGACTTCATCAACAAACTGATAAGAGGGGAGGGAAGAAGAAAAAAAAAAAAAAAAAAAAAAAAAGAGGGAGAAAAAGGAAAAAAAAAAAGAATGTGTTTTGTCACCTGCTGTTTCAAAACCATTAGCTTTTTCCTCTTGTGGAACAAAGCTCCGGTAATTCTGTATGACAATGGGCACATATAAACCTGCAGTTCATTGTTTTTCAATTTGGTGAACAAGTTGCTGCCTATAATGGATGCCTGTCAATTCCTGGGTGTTAGTCTGCAGTCAAAAAATAATTATGTTGATAAAATGCAGAGTAAAGAGAGAGAGAGAGAAAGGGAGAGAGAGAGAGAAGCAAAGAATTAGCTCCTAAATCTGCTACATGTAATTATATCCCTCTGAGTGTTTACAATTACATCCACTTTATAATGTGTGTTTAAACATCGTGTGGTGGTAAGCATACTGTGGAAAGATTTTCCGGTAACACGCACATTATAAATAATAATAAAAAGTTGGGTATGAAAAAAGCTTTAAAAGATTGCAAAATCCAGAGGGAGAAAAGGCATTGCTTAGAATGGAAACCCATTATTTGCTCATTTCAGATTCTATCACTTCCTTTAAAAATAAAATAAAATAAAATAAAATATATTTGTTCAGTATTTTCAGGAAAAATGCAGTGAGGGTGTGGATGGGTCTGATATTTATGTCTATAACTCTTGTATTCTGACCTCTTTTTGTGTAGAATTTTAATGCATAAGTAAATATAAATGCTAATAAAATTCAGAGAACATTAAACTCAATTCCAAACAATGTAATTGTATATTCTTGTCAGCATTTAGATGGGTACACAATTACAATAGCTTTCAATCCCACGATTAGCACTGCATTCAGTTAGAAAATGGAGTGTACTAAAAGATAAGTGTCCCAGTATGCGCCATCTAAATAACAATACCCACACTTATTATCTGGATCTAAGACATATACTGCTATTCTCCACATTTGTGTTTATGTGTATTTGTATTTGTTCAGGCATTTGTTTACCCCCTACCAGGAGCATAAAGGGAGTACATGTTAACTTATCAAAGGGACCGTCTGGCCTAGAGACCATACAATTATTAGCAACTGGTTAATTTTCCCCACAGTAAAAACCATTATGAGCAACCTTCATTATCTTGTTTGGCTAATTCTGCCTCCTTTCTCGAAGCCCCAACTTAAAGCTCCGAGGAAACTGTGCTGCCTTACCCTGCCGAGGCTGGCCGGGGGTGGGGGGGGCTGGCCTGGGGGGGGGCTGGCCTGGGGAGTCTGGCCAGAGGGGCTGGCCGGGTTGGGGGGCTGGCCTGGGGGGGCTGGCCGGGTTGGGGGGCTGGCCGGGTTGGGGGGCTGGCCTGGGGGGGCTCTCCCCTTCCCTCTAGAGCATCTGTCACACCCCAGGAACCGACCGAACCCGAACTCCCGTTAAGCCAACCACACACAGCGCGTACGAAGGTACAAATAACTAGAGGGACACGGGCACACGGATGCCCTCTCGCTTTTCACACACGCACCCCACCCCACCCCCCGGCCTCGCACACGCGTGTGCGCAGGCAGACACCCGTGTTCGGGCACAGCCCCACGCCTGCATCTCGTCCGGCGCGGCGAGCGTAGCATCTAGCCGGACCCCATTTACAGCTGGTCATTTTAATATTATTTTTTTTCCGTCACATTTTGATACACGTTGCAACACTCCAGTTTTCTCCTACGCGGCCGCGTGCTTCCCGCTCTCCCAGCGGCAGGCTCTGGCGGGAAGGGCTGCTCCTTGCGCTCCCACGGACGCGGTCACCCAGGACTGCCTGAATGCAAGTTTTCCGTTAGAAACCCTAAAACTGCAATCAAATCCCAACGAAATAGGTGGGAGAAGCTGCAGGGCCATGAACGTTGCCGTGCCGGGGCTGACGGTAGGGAGCTGCCGCCGGGCTCTAGGCACTTGCACAGCTACTGCTGAAGTTGGTGCGCGCCCCGTAAGCACCTACGAAGGAAACCATTTCTTCCCAAACATACCTGAATAGGTCAAATAAACGCCGCCGCTTGCCTTTTTTTTTTTTTTTTTTTTTTTTTTTTTTTTTTTCCCTTTTCCCCACCCCCCTGCGCTTTTCTATAAATTCTCGAGTAGCGTGTAAACAGGCCAGAGCAAATGCGGTATTTGCAGGAGAGGGCTGTCAGTCATTAAAAGCTAACAAACCTTTGCAAAGCAGGAATGCGGCAATAGAAATCCATTGTGAGCTGACAATAGGCTCCAGAGCCTCCAGGCACCAAAAGCAGCCCGTCTTACTTTTTAAGTCTATTGTCAGCAAAGTCCACGACAGAGCTTTTCCCCTGCAGCTAGACAAAATATTCGCCGTGGTGCGCTCGTAAAGAAACAGAAGTCTTCTAACTTGCCGCGTTAAAGCAACAGTAGCCGCTCGCCGGGGCTGCCAGGGCCCCGCTGCCCGGCCGGCGGGCTGCCTGCCTGCCCCCCAACTCCTGCCTGCCCCCCAACTCCTGCCTGCCCCCCCATTCCAGCCTGCCCCCCCCATTCCTCCCCCCCGCCCCGCCGAGCCACCGCTGCAGCCGCTCGGGGAGCGGCGCCGGGACGGGGCCCGGTGTTACCGAGGCGGGGGGGGGGGTGGGGGGTGGGGGGGCTAGGAGGAGGGGAGGGTTGGGGGGGCGTCGGCTTTGTCAATAAAAACCTTCCTGACTTAGCGGCGGAGTCCCCAGCCGCAGGGCTCGTGTTACAAATGAGTGTCCCCGCAACCTGACTCCGCTCGGCGATGCCGGGAGAGCTGCGACAAACGGGCGGAGAATAATGAAGGCGATGGACGGCCATGTATCAATGACTGAATTTCTGCGAGAATGGTAAAGATCTCAGTAGGAAATCATGATTAGAGATGTGAAAAGGCCAAATGGCAAAATCCCAGTAGTAACAATGCATCTGTTCATTAATGTGCGAATATGAGTAATATGAAAATTTAACACAATTATAAGCCCCTCAGCAATCCTGATGGCATAAAATAGATTGTGGTGATCTAATCAGCGCTTCCCCTGTTGAAATACTGTACGTTAACTATTTAAAATAATATTATATAGACTTTTTTCCCCTTTTTTAAAAAAAGTAATCATATTTAATTGATGTACTAACTTAGTTTCAAACCTCCTTCAACTTGAACTGCAGTTTTTCTATAAGGTACTTCAACAGAATTTTGATGTAGAATCAGCAAATAATGGTCCTTCTGCTAATACTTAAAAAGAACTTTAATTCTGAAAGACAATAGCTTCCCCACCCCTATAGCTTTATAGAGCTAGAGAGCTATATTAAATTACATCTTGTTTAATTCTATTATATACCGTGTTAACATATTGTACTTACATAAAACATGCTATTCATATAGCGAACCTATCGCATTTCAGCAACTGCTTGTGAAATGCATTACGCACCACATCTTGGAAACAAACATTTACTAAGTCATTTATGAACCCCATTAAAAAAAGATTTTAAATTTACACATCTTAAATAAAAATAACTGCTTAAAAGGTTACAACTGTAGAGTTTTCATGAATTATACAGAAACAAAGTTAATTTTTTTTTTTTTTTAGACTTCATTGGGAAGATGATGCTTTCAAATTGAGAAAAGAAAGAAACACTGTATCTTGTTTGCAAAGCACTCACTGGATTCATCAGAAAGTCAGTAAAACTTTTAATGCTTGCACATACAATGGGCAGCTTGAAATTGGGAAAGGTAGCCTGCACACAGGAGCTGCTATTCATGATCCCTGCTCCAACATTTACTCTCCTCTTGCATTCACCAACCAGAACAATGCTCCTACATCCAAAATCTGAGCGATATTGTGACAAATTCTGGATATGTATCAGGACAGCTATGTATTATGACAAACTATATTAGCATTTCCAAAAAGCTATACACAGTGTGCTCTGCCATTCTGCATATCACGATTATTCAGAATGCCTCCTAATTGTACCTTCAGGAGGGATCCAGGATTAGCCCCATTTCTTCTTCCGAGCCCCACTTGAGCTAAGATTACCCCCCATTACTGATTTGCAGTGTAGGTCCTACAGCACACAGTAAAACAATTCCGAGTCTATCCACAGCACAGTATGAATACATCTACCAAAGAGTTGCTCACGGGTTGTTTGTGAACAGTAATTCATTAATGTTTGGGAAACATTTTTGTTCCAGAAACACTATGAAAAGTGTTAAGGGTTGTTATGGAAGAGGATTACGGGAAGGGCACCAAAGAGAAGGACTGAGATGGAAAGAATAACAGGAATCATTAAGTAAACGCTGGCGAGGAGGAGACTGACTGAATTAATAGAAATACAAATTAATCCACAAAAATGATTTCAGCTGTCTCTATTCAGCACATTTATCAGCTCTTTCTAGAGATATTTACAGTGCATTTTGTTTTCCTTGTTTCACCCTTGCCTCTGTTGCTTGCATATGCTTGTTCGCATCGCTGCGTATGGCAATACCCGCTGGTGAGTGGCCCTCCGGCTGTGCCAGCCATTGTGGCAGCGGTGCGCTGGCTCCTCCGGGCCCCCCAGCCCCGCCGCCCTCCCTCCCTCCTCGCCTCCCTCCTGTGCCAAGAACCATCGAGGCTGACTCCCTCCTCTGCAACAATGAGACCTGGAGACTGATGCCAGCAGCCAGCAATTCTCACGCAGGCCTTCGGCGCACGGAATTAAACCACTTTCTTGAGGGGGTGGGGGGGTAACAGTCCCACGTTAACTGCTCTGATTTGCACGTACGGATGCACGTGTGCATCAATCTGTACGTGCTGGCCACACGTACACAAACGCTGAATTGCTCTGACAGCACTTGAAAGCAAAGCATCTAAGTAACATAAAATCCCTTTTTAATCTAAC